GACGTCCGCCAACAGCAGCGGCAGCAGCAACGCGGCGGACGGGCTCGCGAAGGGATTCAAGATGCAGCCCATGTCCGCGCACCCGCGCTCTGGGCACACGTACGAGGTGAGTGCGAAGGGGGCGGAGGTGGGCGCGCGCAACGAGGCCGCCTGCATGAACTACGAGCGCTTCACGCCGCGCAACATCAACGGCATCTTCGCCATGCCGCACATCGTTAACCTGCTGACCATCACGCCGATCTACTGCGCCGTGGTGTGCATCGGCAGCGTGGCGTGGGGCATCTTCTACTGGGACATGTACTGCCGCCGCACGTACGAGACGGTCCTCGTCGCGCGACCGGAGGCGCTGCGTTGACGCGGGCATACACGCAGGGTTCTTTTTGTTTTTGGTTTATCCCATTAGCGTGGGCGATGCGACAAGGTGTGCCGCTCGTGTTTTCCATTTTCCATTCGTTCCACCAGCCATGAGAGCAATGACGTACGTGCAAACGGGGACAAGCACACGCAGAGCCACAATGCAGACGCACATGCGCGTGGCTGCGGGCATGCAGTGCGGTGGTGGTTGCCCTAAGGACGCCATTGCTGCGTTGGATCTCTGTTGTCGATTTCTGTTGGATTCCCTCTTCTTGCGGCTCGCCACTTTTAGACTAGCGCTGCGGGAACACCCCCCGCACACACACACACACACAGAGAGAGAGAGAGAGAGAGAGAGATGCACATAGTGGCAAGGATTTTCGAAGGGTACAAATGGCGAACACCGCAACAACAGCAGCAGTAGCAGCAGCATACAGGAGCAGAGGACGTAGAAGAATGCGATGAATGCGGTGCTTATGGACTGCGTGTTGGGTGCGGTTGACGGTGGCAGTCATTACCTCTGTGGTGTGAGGAATGAAATAGGCGACACGGATGCGCGCGTGCGTGTGGCACCGAAGCGTGCCTGTGGAGCGAGGGGGCAGCAGGGGCGCGAGGGAAGGCTGCGCCTGCTGATCCGTCACGCCGGGACGGCACAAGTGCGGCAACCGCACTTCTCTCGGGCAGGCGAACGGCTGCATCCACACGCTCGCTTGCATCGATGCGGGCTCGGATCACTACTGTGCGCAAGCGGTGGCGGCGGGGATCGTCGTGCTGCTCCTGCGCTGTGCCGCGGTACTCGCTGCAGAGGCTTGGGCGTGTGGGGGACACACACACGCTCGCGTATGACACGTGCACGGCTGCCGACAACACTGTTGCCAACTGACGCGGCACGCAGCGCTGGCAGCTGGCCACATTTGCCTCTCCCTCCCTCCCTCCCTCCCTCCTTATCGACCCTCCTTGTTGTGTGCTGGCTTTTGTTTGTTTTTGTTTGTATTTATGGTGTTTCTATCGTGCTCGTTGATCCTCGTTGCCGAATTCCCATTCGCCAATAAGGAAGGAGTGGAGCCGTGCGGTGTTGTCGGTTCCATACGTGTGTGTGTGTGTGTGTGCCCCACGGCTGCCTGTTTCTCACATGCTGCTGCTGGCCCTGGTGACGGCGGTGGTGGGCTGTGAGGTCTTCTGCGCGTGCCTTCCCCATTCCCCCGCTGCTCCCCGCTGGTCTTTCGCGTTCCTAGTGCGGTGTGCGCCGCTCCCCCAACGTGAGGGAGCCAACCAATAGAGGTGTGCGGAACCGCAACACACAAGGAGAGAGAGAGAGAGAGAGAGAGAAAGAACGAACGAAAGAAAGAAAAAAAAAACAACAACTCACACATACATTCAGTGTGCACGGACGCACACGCCCCCACTACTACTAACCGTGCGGTTTGGATCTAGACGCGATGGATACTGCTGCTACGGCCACGTACGACGCGACGCGGGCGGAGCGCTTTGAGCGGTGGCTGCCGGCCGACACGTTCCCGCCGTCGTACAGCTGCACCACGCCAGCGGAGGCGGAGCTGCACAGGGCTGTCGAGCTGTTCCGCACGCAGTACCACGAGTACTACCCCAACCGCGCACCGCTGCTGCTGGCGCCGCTGAACGAGTGCAGCACGTCCAAGGTGATTTGCACCTTCATCAAGCCGACGGTGTTTCCGTTCGAGGAGCTGTTCGACCTCCCGTCGTGCGCGGGGTTCCTCGCGGACTACATGCGCTACGAGCCCCTCAGCGACCCCGTGAAGCTGCCAGCCGTTGTCGTCTCGCCGGCTACGACGCTGCAGTGGCAGATCGGCAACTGCTTTGAGCTGAGCCTCGTCCTCGCGTCGGTGCTCGTGGGCGCGGGCTACAACGCGTTTGTCGTTGTCGGCTACGCGCGGCGGTTTGTGTGCGAGAATGACCACTCGCAGCGGGTGTGGACGGATAGCGGCGGCCTCTTCAACGAGGCAGAGTCCGACGGCGAGCAGGAGGTAGAGGCGGAGCTTGACGTGGAGTATGCCGCGCTCGTGAAGGAGCGGCCAGTGCTGCGCGGCGTCGACGACCCCGAACCCACCGCCAAGCAGCAGCAACAGCAGCAAGAGGCACCGCCACCACCACCACCACCACAGCAGCAACAACAGGAAGGCCCACAAAAGCAGACGCCTGCGCAGCAGCAACAAGCCCAGGAGCAGCAAGAAGAAGAAGGGGCCCCGGGGCCGCTGCAGGAGCAGGAGGAAGGAGAGGAGGGGCAACGACCAAAGTACTCTGCCGCTTCGAATCGGACGCCCACAGACAAGGCGAGCATGAAACGGCTGCACAGTTGGGTTCTCGTGCTCCCTGGTGGGCGCAAGAGCCAAAAGGACACCGTCTTTGTGGAGCCGTCGAGCGGCGAGATGATCCCGCCCCGCAAAGCCGACGCTTTCTACACCGGCATCGAGGCCGTCTTCAGCATGCACAACTACCTCGTGAACCTCGCGCCTGACGCCCCGGTGAGTGCGCTCACGCTCGACCTGACCGACGGCACGCAGTGGGAGGGCGTCATGCTGGACATTGACACCGAAGAGGAGCGCGACGCGTCGCAGGTTCTTGCTGCTGGCCCCGGCGACCGCCTCAGCCACACCGTCAACGTCGGCATCCGCTTGCGCGGGCACGGCTACGATATGAGCACCACTTCAATGCATGCCGGCACGGCCACGGCCGCCAGTGGGCTGGCGGTGTCGCTGCGGGAGAAGGCCGTGCGGCCCGTCAGCGTCTCGTGGGTGCGGGAGTTGATTCTCAGCCGCGCGCAGTACGAGGGCCGTTACCCGGGTGGCACAAAGACGATCCGCTACACCAATGCGGAGGTGCGCTGGTACGCGCCCTACGCGATGCAAGATCTCCGTGTGATGGAGGTGCGCCTGCCGGACAACATGTACCGCGACCGACAGCAGGTGCACTTGCTCTTCAAGCACCGCGCGGACAAGCTGCACCGCCGCTCCACCTTTCCCACCGATTCCACGCCCATGACTTCTGCTGTTGTTGCAGGGGACAGCTACGAGGGCGGAAGCGGCACTGCGGCTTCCGCGCCATCGTTCCGACTGCTGAAGGAGTGGTACGAGCGCGGGCGCATGCGTGACGCGGCGGTGGAGGGGCTGCGCCTCTTCGTGCACGAGACTGGCGTGTCGCGTAGCATGACGTTCTACTGGGACGCCCGCGACGACGGCCTGTGGCGGCGGCGGGAGTACTTCTACGAAGGCAGCGCGCTGCGCAAGGTGAAGGAGTTCTACCGGCAGCGCGATGACCGGTTGTGGTACCGCAGCGCGACGTTCGGCCGCACCACCGCCGTCCTCCGCATGACGCGGCGCAGCAGCAGCGTCTTCGCCGACCGCAGCGCCGACGACGCGCTGCGACTGGACCC